CTCTTAGAACGAGGTTTTACAATTCGTTAATAACCTTAAAATAATATTTCCAAGAAATGAAGAAAAAGTCAAAAAATGTACTTTGGTTGGCGATAGATGGCAGCAATACGGGAATGTCTGTGCGGTTCTGCAGCACCATTAGTTAGGTTCAATTTCATATTTATCAAAATTCTTGGTTGCTAAAAATCAGTGAGTAGAGAGGCATTTCACACGGTTCTGTCTGAGATTAAGCAATTTTTGAGCTTGTAATTCCTACAGTTCATGTTGTAAGTTGTATGTGTTGATAATGCATCCATAATCGCATTCCCTACACCATTACCCATTGAAACGCATGAACAATGATAGTATAGCAAAGTACTTTTATATTTTGACTCCCTGCATTGGCTGACTTAACTCAGAGTCAGAATTACCGCTGTCTCTGCAGCGACTCTGACCGGGAAGTGGAAGTCGTCGGAGTTTGGAGCCTAGGTAGGTCGAATTCAGCAGCAGCCTGGAGGAGAGTTCTAGGAGCGGCTGGTCTGTTAGTTGTCCATAGTATCTCCTACAAGTACTAGGTGAATGCCGTACAGTGCGCTAAAAAACTTGCCACCGACCGCACGCTCTTTCCGTTTTATTTCTTGTCTTATCTCTTTTTCGTGACCTCTTGGCTGTCCGAGTGACGCCGCGTCGTTGGTGGAGAGGCCGACGTTCCGCCTGTCGTGTCGCAGACTTGACCTAATACTGCACTCGGATAAACATTCTAATATTGCTTAAAATTTTTTACAACAAATCCTATTGAAGCTACAGCAACACATACTTTCTAGCATAATTGTCACGCAATATTATAGTACTTGATGAAAATGTTTAAGTTTTTCCAACCAGCAAAAATGCTTCTCCGCCCTGAGATTTGTACTCGGAGCCATCGACTTAACTCGTCTTGCACTTTAACTCTACAGCACGCAGTCGCTCCGCCGTACTCACATTTCTCCACTCTTAAAAAGCTATTGGTTTCCGCCATTATTTCGAACCTTTGCAGTTTTCGAAAATTCATGTAGTTCAACAATAATGAGACCGTCCCCATTTTCAAGCAACCTTTGCTCTATCTTTGCTACATATGAAAAAAATAATTAAGAAAAATTTGGAGATTTTTGGAAAATATTGCATGCATTTTGAGCAGTAATTACGGGACTTTTTTACTACTTTGTTCCAAAATATTACACTAATTTTTAAAGATATGTTATTTTTTTTTGGTAATAAAGTTCGCCAAAAATAGAATTGGCACAATTTTTTGCCGTTCTTTGTTACATACAAGGTAGCAATTTAAGATACAATTATAGTCATCTTTGAGAAAATAACTGATCAACTATTGCCTATATACCATGAAAAATTCTCTGCAAACTACTCATATTTTTGAAAAACTGTAGGTGACCTTATTTCACGATCTGCCTTTGAACAACAGATTTTATTACAAAAAATATATACCTTCAATATTGATATAGTAGGAACACGCCGAAAATTTTGAAAGTTTTGTAATGTTTTAAAATTTGGGGGTATAAAAAAATTCTTTAAGCTACGTTCTTTACGCTATCAGAGCACAAAGGTTTTTAAAAATGTGGTGCTATACTTCAAAAAAAATTAATGTTGAGGTTTTGAGTTACGAAGTTGTGAAAATGTTGAGTTTTAAAGTATCAAAGAAATCAAAATATCCGTTTCAATCTCTCAAGGCCTTGAGCTCGCTTAGATCTATTGGCAAATATCAGTTTTAAAGAAAATAGTTTGAATGGTTAAGGCCATATATACCGAAGTTTTTGTTGTTGGTTGAGAGAAAAGAACTCACGTTCTTCTAGCCAGATTAAATGCCCCTAGATGGCTGGATGAAAAGGAGAAAATTTCTAATATTGATTTAGTTATTGTATCGATTTTGTACATTCCCATTACTTTTCATATTTTACGAGAAGTTTGATTTAAAAACCTCAACATGACATACGATTAGTTTGTGGGAAGAAAAAATAAAGTGCATACTTTAATAACCCTTCAGAGTTAGTGAACATTATTGAAAGTATTGACAGTATTGAAAACTAATACAAAACTTATTGGCATTCAATATGCGTAGTAGATAACAGTATTGCAGGCAGATATGGATGGAAGATTCCACCAACCCTGAGGACACCATATCGAGGATAGTAGAAGAGAACGCTGAATATTCCAGAGAGTCTGGGAGCTCCTTCACAGAACCTTAATGCTTATTCCTAACCTGGGGAGGGGAATATGCTTCGACCTCTTTGCGAAGTTATGAACTTGAGAATGCGGAAGCTGCGGAGTTTGAATGAACGCTGTTTATATGCACTTACCGTGCAATTCTCAGAAACGTCTCCGTAAGAGCTGATGCAGAAATGTCCGGTATATTTCCTCCATTGTCCTCTCAATTCGGGTTCACTCTAAAGGTGTGCTTTAATAAGATCTCATCAACTGCTACCATGCAATCTGCATGACTAATTTCGAATACATGCAGAACTTAAAGGAAAACTATGCTTTCTCTGGCTTTGTGAGTGGAGTTTATAGTTTTCCTAGATTCACAGGAATTCGAGAAAAACAGTTTTTAATTTGACTGAAAAAATCTAATTTTTGAGTATGTCAGTCCAAAATTGTACATTCCTGATATTACCACTATAGTCTCTTACTTACAGCGACTCTGTTTCCTACACGGTTGATTTCATCCGCAAAGGAAAAAGTATTCTTTCTTTTTTCCATACAATCGCCAGCATTATTTCAACTACAACAAATCACTACTTTCATCTACCTTAAGCGTATTACTGTACCTCAATAATTATTGGTGAATATGAAATATCAACAATAAATTTTATTTTTTCATTTTATTCTTCCTGCACGGATTTTTTGCCCTTCAAGGGTGTTGAATAAGATTTCTATAACATTATTTGGATTGAACAGCATCCTCAGGTTTAAATATCAATGTATCAGATACGCACTGGTTAGGTAGGAGCTGGACCCTAGATCGGAAGAAATAAATAGGTTAAGAGCAAACAATGAATAGCTTATCAAATTTAAGTTAACTTAGCCCACGGTTTAATAAATAAGTCCTAAATCAAGACTGAAAGGTAATAGAAATAAAAAATAATCAAGAAGAAGAAAAAAATAATTACAATAATAAAAAAAACGTCGGCCCCGGGCGAAACGGTTTGCGGCCATCGTTGGCTGAGCCGAGAGGCTGCAGGTTTCGAGTAGAGAGAGATAGATGAAGATTAAGAGATGATAGAGAGATTAGAGAGATAGAGAGATCTAGAGAGATGAAGATAGAGAGATAGAGAGATAAGAGATAGAGAGATAGAAGATAGAAGATAAAAGAGAGATAGAGAGATAGAGATGAGATAGAGAGATAGACAGAGATAGAGAGATAGAGAGATAGAGAGATAAGAGAGATAGAGAGATAAGAGATAGAGAGATAGAGAGATAGAAGAATAGGAGAGAATAGAGAGAGATAGAGAGATAGAGAATAGCAGAGATAGAGAGATAGAGGATAGAGACGATAGAGAGATAGGAAGCAGATAGAGAGATAGAGAGGATAGCAGAGATAGGAAGATAGAGAGATAGAGAGATAGGAGAGATAGAGAGGGATAGAGACGATGTAGGAGAGATTAGAGAGATAGAGAGATAGAGAGAATAGAGAGGATAGAGAGATAGAGAGATAGAGAGATAAGAGAGATGATGAGATAGAGAGATAGAGGATAAGGAGAAGATAGAGAGATAGAAAGAGATAGAGAGATAGAGAGATAGACGTAATAGAGAGATAGAGAGATAGAGAGATTAGAGAGATAGAGAGCAGAGATAGAGAGATAGCAGAGATAGAGAGATAGAGGAGATAGAAGAGAAGAGAGATTTAGAGCAGAAGAGAGATAGAGAGATAGAGAGATAGAGAGATAGAGAGATAGAGAGATAGAGAGATAGAGAAGGATAGAGAGATAGAGAGATAGAGAGATAGAGAGATTTAGAGAGATAGAGAGCAAGAGAGATAGAGAGATAGAGAGATAGAGAGATAGAGAGATAGAGAGATAGACGAGATAGAGAGATAGAGAGATAGATAGAGAGATAGATAGAGAGCATAGATAGAGAGATATAGATGAGATAGATTAGGCAGAGATAGATAGAGAGATAGATAGAGAGAGAGAGAGAGAGAGAGAGAACTGGCTTCCTAGGCCACCCAATGACAGGAGCCAGAAACTGGGACTGAACAAATTAAGGGAACTCAGCGTCGTACCACCTGAGCGCATCCGCCACGCATTCATCTTACTCGTCATCAAAAAAGGGTTAAACCTAGATGTAGCCAGATATTGTAAATATCGGCCTGAAAAATTTAAAAATGACAGAATTCAAATATATTATTGGCTACAGAGTGCCCGTGAAAGATCATACAGTGCACACGTGGCAAACAGCGTGATCATACACTGCGGCAAATGTGCATCTGCCAGACCCATTTATTTACAAGAATGGTACAATCTTTAATTATTTGTTATTTCTCAGAAAAGTAAACTAGTATCTCCTTTCAGATGGCCGGATCCTAAAATTCTATCTTCTCCCTTTACTTACACACTCACGCGCACTACACTAACACGTGTTGCGTGACCACTCGGGAGCTCAGAGCTTTTCTCGACTGGGCGGTGACACGCTGGTGGGAGTTACCTGATTGGATAGAAGCCCACAAGCCTACTTGTAGGTCAGCGTCGGATCTCACTATCCAGCTTTCACGATGAAACATGCACTACACATTTGGGCTTAATGACCGTATCAGTTGACACGCCCGGAAATAACAACTAATCAACCAAACGCAAAGTAAACGTGTCGAATGATAATAAATCAATTAAAAAAATAACTACAAATACAATATTTTCTTATACTTTTGTGATCTTTAGATTTTTATTGTCTGCAGTATCTTTTAAGATTAGACATAGGTATATTAATGTTATCACAAATATCTTGAATATTATAATGCCTTATGCCTTCTTGAATCAGTACATATAGATTGTGGACATAGGTTTTGATGCTCGAAGGCTTTTTGCTCCCAAGAGAGGCGTCACAGGAGGTTTTCTGTGACTAGTCCATGGACGAATTAGCAGCCAGTAAATGAGCTCAATGATGCTCAATATACTCATACCCAAGCAAAGACCAAGTATTCCACCACAATTTGCTGAAAGAGGAGAAACCTATTCAGACAATTTATTAACTTAAGTGTACGACCAAGAAAAGAGACTTACCTATTAAGGTCAATGTTTTGTAATGCTCTACACGCCGCATTGGTATGTATTTTGAACTTTTGAAGTAAATTGTTACTCTGACATAATGGGTATCGTTGGAACTGAAATAGGATATTTCATTGCAGAAATGGAGAGTTTAAATGTATCCAATATCACGCAGTGAAATAATAAATGCTAAATTTCACGATTCTGAACTGTAACCTTATGAACGCTAGTATCAATTTACCTTGTATTATGCATTATTTGGTAGGAACTAATATCAAAGTCCGAGAGACTTGTTCGACCATCATCGTAATATAGATATGAACATATCGGAAAACAGATGCAGTTTTGTATAGTTCCATTTAGGTTTTTGACTTCAAAGTTTCCACCGTTAAAGTTGGCTGAAAGAGCTTGTACATGACCTGCAACGTAAATACTCTATTAAAATTACGTGTAATGCATTTTCTGTATATTTTTAATAATCTCAACGTACTTGCTACTTCTGTGCAGCAATTAATTTTTTCTGCTCCACATATGTAAGTATCAAGATCGCCTAAAACAAAACAACAAAGATAAAATAACACATTAAATAATATTTCGTTCATTTTTAAGCACAAAAATTATTAGTCACATTAATTTAGTGACAGAGAACTAAAATTTTATTAGAGTCATCCAGAAAATTTTAAGAGAATTCTCGAAAACGTTATAGTGGAGAATGAAGTATTTAAACGTAGTTTTGTTTGTTTTAAGACACCTATAGTAGTGAAACGAATTGAATTACTGCATTTCTGTCAAACCTTAAAGTATTATAACATCCTTAATCAGATTGATGTTATATAAACCTACTTGTGCAGTTAAGCTAAAAATTTAAAAAGAATCAATATTTGTTATAATTACTTTCTATGTCAAAAGATGGACAAGCAAAGAAACTGTGTTATGTTGAAAATGTCTTTTATTAAACTTGCAGAGCACAAATAAATATTTTTATGATGAAAACTCTTGCCTAAGGTGCCACGTTGTGGTACTTATATGTTTTTTCACGTAAGTTAAGGTAAGGACAAAGGATAATTAGTAATTTTTTTTCTAAGTACACAGAAACGAATAAATGCATTAGTATTCAATGAACATAAAGGGTTGGCTCGTTAAAGTTACGAAAATCATTAATAGTCTACAGCATAATTATTCAATTTTCTTGAAGAAAATTGCTATAAAATTCTTCAATTTTATGCTTCCTTCTTTATGAACATACAGGCTGGACCTCGAATCAAATATCTCGAACACTACACATCTGAAAAAGAAAATGAGAAATAAACGTTGTGTGTTTCTTCAGGGGGCACCCAATAATACCAAACTCTACCACTTACACACCCTGGGGTGAGGGAGGGGGGAGAAAAAGCCTTGAACAAGAACCCCCACTTCTATTGCAGATTCGGAATCCGCAGGAAAAGTTATCCCAATTTGATGATTTTTTACCAATTTAATTTCTTGTCGATTACAGCGCCATCTGTCACCCAAAATACCCTTAATCACAGGTGAAATTGGAGTATTTTTTGGGGGTGAATCCAAATATTCAATAGAAATGGGTTTTTATTTATGATTTTTCTCCCCCTACCTTTCCCACCCCAGGGGGTGTGGGTAAGGGGTGGAGTTTACTATCATTTAATGTCCCCTGTCGAAACCAACAACTTTTATTATACATTTTCTTTATCAGATGTGCAGTTTTCGAGATATTTCCTCTGATAGATTAAAATGACTTATCGTGTGTAAGAGTATGTCTACTTTTTCAACAAATATATATCCTCGGTAATCATAGTAAACTTACCATGTCAGTGTCAGTGCAGCTCACATCAGTGTCATTGTCTGTGTAGCTCAGTATAACATGTCAATGTAGCTGAATGAATAAACTACAGAAAAAAGGAAAATTCATCCAAGACAATTTCACACGCCATTTCAATTATGTCATCGTGAAACGAAATTATTACTTTTCTTATAACTTAATGGTTTTTGGTTGTTTTATTAATACATTTTTGTGTTATGGTATTATACATTGATTCAAGTGTATTTAAATACGATGAACAGAAATAATAAAAATTATTTTTCTAATATGTAAATCGAGAAGCAGGAGGAGATAAGAAGGAGTCGGAAGAAAAAGTAGAGAAAAGGGAAGCGAAGGGGAAGAAGGAAAGGAATAACGAGGAGAAGAAGAAATGGAAGAAGGATTTCACTCATTCCAGAATTCCATTAGAGTTCCCTGCATTCACTCAACAAACCAACTTCGTTGCACCTACGTAATTCGCGGCTATGAAATCTCAGTATTGCAAAACCCCATCGTATAGTAATATTATGCCTAATAAGTGACTTATATTAGTCATAAACGAGTAGCAAAGGCATATCTGGACGCACTCACGTGGCATGTGGAACTCGACGCATCCGCACACGGCGCGGGTGGCGTTGGCGAGGCACTCGAGCTCGCAGTTGCCCTGCGTGTACTGGCGGAAGAAGCGCAGGCGGCGCTCGTCGGGGTAGAAGCAGCGGCGCTGCGCGGCCGAGTAGCTGCCCCGCACGGCCGCGTCCGCCCGCACCTCGCGCGCCCGCACGCCCACCTGCATCTCCATGTCCAGCGGCACCATCACCGCCTGCTGGCGCGGCCGCGGCAACTCCGCCGGGCTGTGCAGCACCACCTGCAGCACCAGCCTGGCTGTCAGGTTGCACGCTCCTGCGCTCAGTCACGGTGAAGTGCTCCCCCGCCCACACACCCACACACACTACGAAAATTACTTCAAATGAAAGCAAAATCTCTAATCTTCACGATGGTAAGTAACAATTGTCCCTTTCGCAGGCATAGTTTTCTTTAAGTTATTGGAGAAGTTATACTGTTAATTATCATTTTCTTTTATTGAATAATAATAATAATAATAATTATTATTATTATTATTATTATTATTATTATTATTATTATTATTACAAGAAATAAAAATAAAAATAGATCCCAGATGGTCCCAGTGTTGGGCAAGGCCTCCCACAGTAGTGGCGTGGCTCAATATTAAATTTGCTTTCGGGTGAGCTAACCCTGGAGAGCGTTTCGATTAAGCCTATTGTACACAATTTATATTATGGACTACTGTTTACATTCTGTCTACTTGTCTGTATATCCACTGTCCATATTGCTGTCACTGATCATATTATTGTTCCACTTGTTCACTGTCCACTGGCTGTACCAACATCACTGTTCTCTGTCCATTTTGTTGGCTGTTGTTCACTGTTGATCGCACTCCTGAGCTTATTGGCAGCTAAACCCGCAACATTTGTCGTGCGTACTACTTCACTATTTATAGGGCGATTCCACAAACTTCTGAATAAGTAGTAACCTTTGTAATATAAGGATAAAAATAATAATAAAAAGTAGTACCTGTTTTTAGGGATTGTATTGTATTAGATGTAACAAACCTCAACGGGCGTTCTTATGAATAATTAATAAAAATCTACTGCGACATTCATCGCAACCGGAAGTATTTGAACTCGGTCCAGGAGTTATGTTGTAGACATTATGTGCTATTATTACCACTGTTTTACTTGAGGTACGAAATACAACCACCATAACTCAAAATTTTGTACAATATACAACCATTTACTATTCGACGAAAATTCATTTTCAATATAAACCGCGTGGACTAATATTAATGCATAAAAAAGAAAAATACGGGCTCCCAAGTCAACCTAGCCTCTATTAGGTACTGCTAATGTATGAAAAATCACGCGACAAACTACATTTATTAGTAAATAATGTTTTCTTAGAGCAGCAATTCAGTACTCCTCTTTTAACAATTTACAAATAATTTATTTCATTGCTCCGTTCACATGTACAAGCAGCTATTGTTATAGATGTAATAAATGGTCGAGTGTTTGAATGGCGACACTCACACGAATGCCAACTGCTCGCGCCGGTTTTTTATATTTATTAACTAGTAGATCCGTCAATGCTTCGCTACTGGTTTGTACTATCGGTTTGTTCTATATCTTGATTTGGACATGGTTGTCAAGTATCTTATTGTTACAACGTTCTCCCTCAAGTTGGGGCATGCATTCGCTATGACATAGTATTGGAGAAATTTGATTTACTTGTCCGTGATAACGATCAAGTAATAATTCCGGTCAATATTTCACAATCATAGGGGCAGAATATACAGGCAAAACGCGCTCAATACTTGAGGGTACGGCGAGTTATTTAGGGGCGCTTAAGAAAGCATAAACTCATAAATCATAATCAAAAACGCGTCAAAACTATTTCGCGTCTACGAGTGACATACATACGCATATTTCCATTGAATTATGCCTACAACAATTTCAAAAGTGTAAGAAATAAGTTAACAACGTTTTATCGCATTCGGAAGGACGATACGGAAGCCCATAAAATATGAACAAACAAATGTTGATTTGTACGTTTTCGATTTTTACTTTACGGAGTACGTATCCACCTTCCCAATACCATAACGTTGCTTATGCTGCACGAAAAAACGGTGGATTTTCGTGAGAAAGACTTTATTGCCGGGCACTGAAACCAAAAAAGTCGATAAATTCAGTTGCTAAATTAAGAAAAAAATCACCTAACACGTGACGTAGCAAAAAATCCTGTTTTGCCCTTGATACCGAAAAATCTATTGACGGCAAAACGTTCGTTCGTGTGTCTGTCCGCCTGCCAGTCTGTCAACACCACTAGTTTAAAACATTGGTACACTTTTTTCTGAAAATGGATATTCCCCGATCGATCTGCCTCCGCTCGAGGCGCCGCGATTTTGAAAAACGTGCTTCTGAATTTGGGGGTACTTAACATGAAGCACCCCGAACATATTCAATTTTTTTTCTTTTTTCTCGTAAGAATATAGTAAGATAGTAAGAAAGGAGGCGTAGATCCAATTTCCAGGGTTAACTCTGAATCTTCGAAAAATGCAGAAAATTGAATGTATTTGGCTTCTTCCTGCAACTACAAAATTGAAGATATAGGTTTTTCCTTCAAATAAAATTTGTTGCCCACAATTAGTTTTAAGGTCATGTGCATTTTCGTAAAACTCGAAGTAGTTTTTCGCTGTAATATTTGAAATTTCAAAAAAATTAGAAAAATAAGGTTTTTCTCAAAAACAGCTCCAATTGTTTTCGTTAAACTTTTGGTAGGGATAGTGCTAAATGTACTCTAAGAAATGACATAGTTTTCGAAAACTAAACCATTTTCTATGAAAACTAGCTCAAAATTTCGCATTTTCAGAATCGTTTAAACGCTATTTCCTCAAATACAGTTCCAAATTTTGTCTTTAAGGCTAAATGCATCGAAAAATACTTGTAGGAAAATTCAATAGATCGCAGCACAATCACAGGAGAATTTACTTCACTGATAACGTCTGAACCAATGGTCCGATTTTCGATCTGTAAACGGCATTTGACGCCTTTTTATAATAGAATTTACGCTACGATGACCTTTTTCCAAAAATCTAGCAAAAACGCGAATTTGAAATTAATTCTCAAACTTCCGAGAACAACCTAAAAAGTGTGGGTTTATAGCGCGTTGGCGACATGCTTCCTAAATCCAACGCCGTGACAATTATGCAAATCGGACGAATAGGAGCGTCGTAAAGTGAAATTTACGAAAACATCTCGCCCCCCCCCTTCCCTTCTGCGCCGTTGCGTCACCCACCCGCCCGCTGTGGGCCCTCTGTCAGCACGGCGGCACGGCCACACCCAGGCGTTCGGCACTTTGCATCTCAATCTATTTTCAACGGATATCAAACTAGAGATGCTATACTACTATTACAGACCGAGGTAAACGGTTCATATAATAGTTTAGACTAATAACTTCTTTTTCCGAAGCATAGTACCGTCTTCCTTCGAGATACACACTTAGTTTGACCAACTGCTATACAACTTCACCAAGGAGCTCGGTCACCATGAGAGAGAGTTTCTTCTAAGCCAACGTTACATCATCCCCAAAAGATAAAGATGAGCAGCTACATCAAACAAGAGCGCACGCAGCGTCCCCGAAAGATGCCAGAAACCACACCATTACACTGCCATACTACAAAAACGTGAACAGAGCCCATACAGGCAAGCATTCTAAAGGCCAGGCACATATATCGAAGACAATTTTCACCTAACCATTCAGCCATCAACATCATTTCGTTCAGCAAAGGATCGAAGAAATCGTCATGTACAGCAGTTGATTTTACAGGATTCCTATTTCCTGTCTTCTGTTTTACTATAGGAACAAACGCCAACGCTCGTCAAACACTATCCTCACGAGTCATCAAACAACTGTCGCTTCTGTACATCAGAAAATCGCGACCTGACTCTGAAACTGCTTCTTTCGGGAAAAGAACACCAACAATTTTGTCCATAACACGTAGATTTTTATCATCTACACACGTCATCACACCATCTATTATGTTACAAACGGAACATACGAATTTTTCAAACACCTCGAAACAATTTTAACAGGGAAAGAAAGGAATAGTCAAAATTAGTCTGCTGCGCTTCATCGTACGCCAATAACACCCAAGTGCAAAACCTACAGAATAATAACCACCTGCCCCCCACTCCATATCGGGTCGAGTGCCGCGAGGCCCCAATCACAAACCAGTCGCCAGCGAACACCCAACAAGCTAGCCACGCGAAAACAGCCCTCTCCCCCAACCCGCGCCTGTAAATGGGGAGCGCAGAGACCTAATCGCGCCTGCATCAAGTTAACGTAGCAGCCAGCGCTGACTCAGCGCTCCTTTGTATGAAATCCTACTTCGTTTACTTTCTCTATCGACTTTTCCTCACCTTTCTCGCTCGCCGCAAGTACCTTTCGTAGCACAGTGTTGAGCCCTGCTCCCACTGCTTACTTACTAGTCTCCTCACACTGCAATATCCTTGCCGATCTTGTGATTAGCACTGACTCCTCAGCGATCGCTTAGTGGAAAACCCGCAGTGGAAAGCATAGGTCTAGGATTTTTCCACGAATTTGAGCTCTCTGCTCTTCGACGAGAGCGGAACAATCAAAAGCACCGCCTCTTCCCTATGTCTACCAGTGAGACTAGCGCCCCCGCGGTCGTCTCCGTTGGTGATTATACAATACTGAGCATCATGCGCTCCTATTGACATGCCGTCTACCTTTCGCCATTCGGACCAAGTCGACCTCCTCCCAGATCACAGGAAACAGCACCTGTCTGTGTGTACCTCCTTCATGGATGGAGCTGTGTGAGCAAGCCACTCCGACATGGATGTCATCGCAGTTTTGTTGTCTTAATATCATCCCCGAGAGCCATAGAAGTTATTTTAACCAAACGCCTTCCCTACACCCACCTCCACAAACCTCCGCAGCTGGGAAACTACAGCCAGCTGCTAGCCCAGTCCAATATCCAGCCGATCCTAACACACGCAACGTCTCCGGGATCTGCCGGTATCCCGGCAGCGTATCCGTGCCTTCTCCCTACCCATTATAGAAGACCTTTTCCATTACTTGTGTATCGTTCCGCGAAGCTCGAGCGTAGCAATCCCGCATGCGCCCCTACGAAGCTCATCTCGCTGCGATGAAACATCCGTCTGACAGCAACACACTCACCGGTGTCTCATACCATTCTCTCTACTCATCGGCCACCTGATGAGCAGTACTCTCACGTGCGCGAGCTGCGGTCTATCTTTCGAGCACAAA